GGCATGTCTGGGGGGAGGTGTTCCAGGTGGAGGGAATGGCGTGGATAAAGATGCAGTGGGCGAGTGCACACAGAGACGTGCTGGCCCAAGGCCGGTGGAGGATGCAAGAGGGAGCTGCAAGGGGCACACTGCTGAAGGCTTCATGGTGGGTGGCATGGGAATGAACTCATGGCCAAGACGTCCTGGAGAGGAGGTGGGGGAGGCGCGGCAGGAACCCGGGACCACAGCATCGGCTTCTCCTCCCCATCTACCCTCGGCAGGACCTCACCTTGTATGTTCGTGTACTTTTCAGCGGCCCTGGCTCAGGGCCCAGCGCTTAGTAGGTGCCTTCTAGACAGGACTAAACCCATTCAAGAAAACGCCCAAAACCATTTTGCTCTGACCAGGTGTCTCAGCACAGGTGTGTGTCCAGCAGAAGACATTTCAAAACACATTTGATTTTAAACTTCACTTCCTTCTTCCTTAGCACCTCTCTTTTTGCGGGTTCTGCTGTGCTAATAACATCAGGAGTAACCATCTTTTTCAATTTACAGAATGTTTCTCCAATTACTATCTCTGCTGAGCCTCCAAACAGCGTTCATGGCAGTGACTCTCCACTGTCCAGAGGCAACTGGAAGCGCGGGCTTGGCCAGCACCGGCTGACAGCCCAGCAGGCAAGTGCCCCGCAGTTCCTGCCCGCCGTCCTCCTGCCCGCCCTGCACGCGGACAGTGAGGTCCTCCTTTCCCAGACGGGCTCACAGAGGGGAGGTCACCTGCCCAACCTCCACCAGACAGGCCTGGACGCTGGATTTCATGCTCCCTCGTAGGGGCTCCTGATCCCATTGGGGAAACATCAGCTAAAACCAGGCTGACCAGCCTGAGCCGGAGCCCCTCTACCCCCAGCAGAGGAGCCCAAGGTTTTGACCAGAGGCACCTCCACTCCATTCCAGGACCCACTGTGCCAGGACAGGAGGGGGGTGGGCTGCAGGTTCAGGGACCATTCAAATGGCCACCCCCCCCATCTCCCCCACCCCGGGGTTAAGCCCATGGGCCTGAAGTCTTTTTCCTTTAGCCGCCACTTTTCCTTTAGCCCCACGGCCAAACTGATCCCAAAGCCCAGGATTTCTGCCCTCCAGTTTCTGGCAGCTGACTGAAGGAGTGGCCATTCTAGCCCGAGCTTGGAGTTGACCTCTCCTTCTCCCCTACCTCATCTGCCTGTTCCTTCTCATTCGGGTCACTCAGTTATTTGAGTCTCCTTTCACCATAGTTGCTGGGCACTGGAGGTCCTCGGGTGAATGATGACCATTCTCTGACCAGGAGGAACTCATGCTCCCATTAGGGAGATGCACACATGTCCACATCTACGCAGTGTGGCCAAATGCAATCTGTTGTGGTTTGTGTGTGTGTGTGTGTGTGGGGGCGTCCCAGGGGCTGCCAGGGGACACCTGGCCCAGTCTGGGAGCTCAGGGAGGCTTCAGGCTTCCTGGTGGAGGTGCTACCTGCCCAGGCTGGATTTTAGAATTAGTAGGAGTCTGTCACAGAAACAAGCTTTTAGACTGAGGATTTCCCAACAGCCTAAGCTCGATGGAGTGAGGATTTTTATTTGGTTTCTTACCCAGTACCTGGAACAATGCTTGGTATAGTGGATGCTCAACAGACATGTACTAAAAGAAAGAAGAAAAAAAGGAAGAGAGGTAGGGATAGAGAAAGGGAGGAGGAAACAATGAGTCTGGGCTGGATGAGTCTAGGCTGGATACAATGACTTGGTACCTTCTGGGGACCAAAAGTACAGTAGTTCCTGGTGGCCTGTGGTTTTAAGTGGGTGGGGCTGGGAGAGGGGCCTTATCTCATCCCATTGTCGGTGGTGTCCCTTTCTTATCTCCCCCGTGGGCCCAGAGCTACCTTGAGAATGAGACCATTTTTCCTCTCGTGGTTCCCCAGTTCCCGGTACGTACACTGAATGTTGATGTACACGCAGGTATCGAACGTGTGCTGGGTGGTGGAGACACACAGATGACTCAGAGTTAGATCCTCTCCCTGCCAGGTCTGGCGGAGGAGACAGACAGTAAACAACACGGGCCACAACAATAGGCAGAATGAACACGGAGAGCCACTATGGAGGTTCAAGCAAAATGAGACCAAGCAAAGGGTTGGATGAGTTTTGCTCCAGGAGTGAAAAGCAAAGAGGTTTTAGAGGAGAAGATGGCAGTGAACAGGATGTTAGCCCTAAGGAATGGTCAAAGTGGGATATTGGGGAGGGAGGCATTCCAGGTAGAGACACCAGGCCCAAAGATGTGGTCTGGGGAAGGTACAGCTGGGGGATTCAGTGGGGAAAGGTAGGCTGGGGTTTGGAATGCTGTTCTTGGGTGTTGGGACTTGCTTCTGATCTGACTGCGTCTTGGATCACTGGGTGTATATCTGGTTGGGGCTGCTGAGTGGTCCTGCTTCCCAGGAGCCTGTCAACTCCCTTCTCTCCAGCAGGCTGGGGGCTCCCTGCTCTCTCTGTCTGGGTCCTCTCACTGTCTCTTTTGGCTTCACCAAGAACCCACTGACACGGGGCCTCATTCTGTGTCAAGCCCTAGCAAAGGGCAGACCACAAGGACAGAGTGCCGTCTAGCACAGGTTCCCTGAACGCCACTCCTCTTCTCTTACCACATATGCTCCCAAAGAAGGTGCTAGTACTTTTCTTGGTGGGGGGTGGGGGGTGGGGGGGGAGCTGGGGGGTGGGGAAAGAAAACTCTAGAAGGGAAATCGACATCATAGAACATCAGATTCTCAAGAGATATTAAAGATCTTCTAACCCTCCTTTCCCATTTGACAGAGGAGGAAAATGATGCCCCAACAGATAGGTTTGTGCTACAGGCAGGGCATGGCCAACTTGGTAGACACTGCCATAGTAGAGCCAGAGAAGGGCAGTGTTTTCCTTTAGCCAGGACCTGACCGATACTCATGATACTCATAATCTTTGGGCCTTGCAGACCCAAGATGAGTCAGGCTTCTTGTGAGTCAGTCTGTTGACAAGCCATCCTTGGCCATTCCTAGCCCATCAAAAATAGAAGTCCAGGGGAAGGGGATGAACAGGCCAATTTAATTAGTGTGGGCTCTAAGGTACCTTAAGTTAGCCCTATTAAATTAAACCGCCTAGGGGAAAAAAATAATTGTAATTATTTCCTTCTCTCCCCTATCGTTGTATTTCAACTCCCTCCCAACCTCCATGCTTCTCTCATTCACAAAACAACCTTTAAACTAGGGGCTAGTGTACAGACAACCATAGACTAGGGTTCAGTATTTCCTTTTTTCTGTCCCCTTCCCCTGCGATCTCTAGGTCCCAGCAGAGAACACAGTGCGTCCAGAGGCATCCATAGGGTCTGGCTGTACTCTAATTTAGGGAGGCTTGTTACACTGAGCAGAACATTATTCCAAAAATGCACCGTCTCCTTCCTGAACCAATGCAGATCTGTTTGCTGCGGGGCATTTCTTTTAAAAGCCCCTTTTCTCTTTTCAACTGATCAAAATAAGCAAACTTTAATGGTAGGGAATTCTTTATTTTGTTGAAATTTAGTTCTGAGTTTTCCTACTTGAAACGTGTTTTCCCCAGGACACTGACCTATCCTTTAATTGTTTGGTGCTGTTTGGTGCGAGGCATGTTAGGGGGAGGGGCGTTACTTGTTTATTGGAACAGCGCAGTTAAAAAAAAAAATCAACCTAGGCTAACAGTTTCAAGGCTCCCCTAAAGATGTATCCAAACAGGCAGCCAATCAGCGCTTACACAGCTTTTTCTGCTTGACTCTTTTAAAGAGACAGTGCCGACAGTGTTTTATCACATTTAAAGAGAACCGCGCTCTAAAAGCAGTCTGAAAATGGGGGGGTCTTCCCCTATTTCGCTGGTTTCTGGTCCAATAAGGGAGTCATAGTGTGTACTTGGGGTTCTCAGCGTGGGCAGCAAGGAGTCAGCAGCAAATAGCTGGGTCACTCTGCCAGCCCCCCCCCCATTTCCCATTGTACACCTGGGTCACTGACAATGGAAGCTTCCCCTCCCCCCAAGCCTGACTCTCACCCCGCTCCACTCCCCAATTTAGCTCCATTTATTTGAAGTTTGCTGATTTCTGTGGCGCGCATTCCACGTTGCGGGGCACCCAGGTGACGCCCCCGTACCCCGGAACGGCACAGTCTCCTGTGGAGAAGCCAAGGGGCTAACTTGCCAGGGCTGGCCGACCTTAGAAATTTGGGAGCAATCACTCTCCCTTCTCTTAACACAAGTCCCCCGTCCCCTCCCCCAGGTTCCCCAAAGCACGCCAAGGACCTTTTTCGCGCGGCTCCACTTTGGGGCTTTCCAAAGTATTTTAATGATGTAGTAAAGGAGCAGCCGCGCGCCTCGGCGCCGGCTCGAGCCGCCCAGCTCGCAGCGTGGAGCCCCGGGCCCGGCGCTCGGAAGGCGGACTGGGCAAGAGGGAGGGCCGGGGGCGGGGCGGCTGGGGAGCGCACTGGAGTCTGGGGAGGGGGTCGGGGTCGGAGCCCAGGGGGGAGGACAGGCGAGGGGGAGGGGGAGATAAGGGCTGGGCCGTAGCAGGCCGGGCGGTGGAAAGGCGGGGGGGAAGGAGGTGAGGGGCAGATAAGGGAGAGGGACGTGGCGGGAGGGAGCGGGCTGCGCTCCGCTTAGGGGTCCGCGCCCCCTCCCCTCCGACGCTGCCGCAGCGCCCCACGCCCCCCAGTGGTCCCCGCCGCGGAGAGCGCCCGGCAAATCCCCTCGTCGCCGGGGCAGGGAGACCAGAGCTCCCCCAGCCCGATTCGAGTCCCCTCCCCACATCTACAGAAAAGAGAGGCGCGCGCCCCCGAGCACCCGCGGCTCGGCCGCAGGAGCAGGGGCAGCGGCTCGGTGGAGGCGGCCGCCGCGGGGACTGCCGCGACCGGGCGCTGACAGGGCGTACCTCCCGGCCGCCGGGCCCGCCCCCGCGCGCCGATTGGCCGAAGCGGCCATCAATCGCGGGACGTTGACGCCCGCCTCGCTTCCTCGCCCGGGTAGCCACGTTCGGTTGAGCTCCAAGTAGACCAGCGGCAGCGGCGGCGGCAGCGGTGCCGGAGGCGCAGAGGGCGGCGCAGGCGGAGCCGGGCGGGCGGGCGCGCGAGCGAGCCAGCGGGCGGCCGGGCCGGCAGGCGAGCGGCGGCGGCAGCGGCACCCCAGGCCGAGCCGGCGCGGGAGGAGTTCCAGGGCGATGGGGCCGCGGCCGGGGCTGACGCTTTGACAGCTGGAAAGAGCGCGGAGCCAGCGCCTGGGGGGGGAGGGAGGGGAGCGCGGCGAGGAGAGCGCGAGCGGGCGAGCGAGCGAGGCCGGGGAGGGGGCCGGGAGCGAGGGGGCAGCTCGGGAGCAGCCGGAGCGGTAGCGGCGGCGGCGGCGGCGGCGGCGGCGAGGCTCGGCGCCCTCTTCTCTGCAAACCATGTTTGCCAAAGGCAAAGGCTCGGCGGTGCCCTCGGACGGGCAGGCTCGGGAAAAGTAAGCCCTATTTTCCAAGTGGCGGCCGCGCCGTCGCCGGGCTGCGGGAGGCCGGTGGGAGGCAGGTGGGCGGGCGGGGGCTGCTGCGCTCCGGGCCCGGCGCCGCCTGCCTGGCCCCTTCCCCGAGGCCGCGGCGGGCGGCGTGGGAGAGCCCATTGTTGGGAGGCGGCGGAGGCCGGGGCGTCGGGGGGCGCCGCCGGGGGAGGGGGCACCTGGTGGCCGCGGGGCGTGCCGGGCGCGGGGGCCCGCGGAGAGGGGTGGGCGAGGTCCGGAGCGAGAGCTTGGGCGCCCGCCGCGGCGGCCGCACTTTGCCCCGCGGGCGCGGGCAGGGGGCGCGTGGTTCCCGCAGCCCCGAAGGCTCCTTTTGTCCGCCCGCGGCGTGAGGAGTGCGTGCCGGGGGCTTTGTTCGGCCGGGAGCGCTCTCCCTTGCCTGCCCTCGGCCTCGCCGCCCGCCCCGCGCCCTCCGGGGCGCCGCGCTGGGCAGGAACGGCGGCGCCGGTTTGGCCCTGGGCTTGGGGGACAGTTGCTTGGGTTGGGGGGGAGCTGGTGAGGGTGGCGCTTTGCTGCCCTCTCCAGAGCACGCTGAACACCCCGGAGTCCAGGACTGAGTCTCCCCGGATCCTCAGAGCTGGAGAGAGGGTGGCAACGAGTGGGTCGGGAAAAGGAGGGAGGCTCTGGGGTCGGGAGGCTTGCGAGTTTGAGAGACCTAGGTGGGTTTGGCCCCGATGCCAGTTGGAAGTTCAAGTTTGGGGGCTGCTCTCTAGCCCTCGCGGCTCGAGGCAACGCGTCCCCTGGTACCCACCCCCTGAATGCTTCCACCCGCGGCCCCGAGGCAGGGCCAAGCTAACTGCTCACCTCTGGTTGGGGCCACAATGGGACAGCGCAGACAGGGTTGGAAGCCGGCTGGCAAGGTCCAGAAGCGAGCGCCCCGTGGGATCTAACGCCTTCCCTCTCTTTCTGTGCCCCCTGCCCACTTTCCAGGTTAGCTTTATACGTCTACGAATATTTACTGCACGTAGGAGCACAGAAATCTGCACAGACCTTCTTGTCGGAGGTGAGTGGAATTCCCCCCCCATCATCCAATTTCTTGACACCCCTTCTTCCCCACTATTCTTAGAGCCTTTGTTTTCAGGAGCAACCACTGTGGCCACCATTTTGAATTTTTATCACCTTTTGGCATTTATTGTTAGTTGGTCTTCTCAGCCTTTTGGCTCTGGGAAGCCCCCAGCCCACCTTTCCTCTCTGCTCCTCTAAGCCGTCTCTGCTCTCTGCTTTCCAGATTCGATGGGAAAAAAACATCACGTTGGGAGAACCGCCTGGGTTTTTGCACTCGTGGTGGTGGTAAGTTTGTGTGATAGTTTTGTGTGTGTGTTTGTTTTGTTCTGAGACCTGGGTCTGGGTGAACAAAGACAGGAGGCCTGGAGCAGACCCCCATGCCTCAGCTCTTGGGCTTGGCATGGAACAGGGCACCTCTGGGCACTCAGACCAGGGCTGGTGAAGGAGGAGAAGGACAGGAGAGGTTGCTGTCTGAAGTTTTTGCCTTCTCTTTTCTTTCCTATTGAGAACCTACTAAATTGTGCCTAGTGTTTGTACAGAAACTCCTTTACTTTTCTATCTCTCTTTGGAGCACCAGGCGGGGAGGGGGGGGGGGCTTGAAAAAACCTTGAAGGGTTTTTGTCAGTTCTGCATGCTGCTTTAATTAGAGGGAGTGGGGGTGGGGTAGGGTGGAGAGGGTACCAGGTCTGTTTTACAACTGGCCTGTCCCTTTTTCTTCTGTGAGCTCAAAACCTTGAGAGAGCAACTCTACTGGGGCCTTGCCCAAGCACCCTGAGAAAAAGCAAGAAGGGGCTGCCACTTCCTTTAAAGATACTGATTCAGACTGACTGGACCTTCCTCTCCTCTGTGGGCCCTCCCCCCAACCCCCAGCATCCCTAAAACCACAAAGTTTCATTTTACCAAGAACCTTAACTGGTTGGCGTTGACCTCACAGAGTGCTTGTAGTTGGTAGTTAGTGGCTCTCCCTTACTTGTGACCCTTTCCCTCCTTTATTTGGGTCCTGCTGGGGTGGGAGATCTGTAGGTCTGGTCTCCTTGTAGGTTTGCGTAAGAACGGAGGCTTAGGGTCAGCAGGAGTGAGTCACTGTGAGTGTAAGACCTGGATGTTTTGCGGGACCGATTGGTCGAGTCTTTGACATCCTTTTGAAAAGGACAAGAAAGCAGAATGGCTTTTGATATTTTGGTGGAGTTCAGAAGGATCGGAGTGCCATGTCTTGGGATCTTAGCGCGCGTTTACCTGACCACCAGTTCAGGTTACTGTTCTGAGTCTCTTTGAAATGCAGGGGGATGAAGTGTCTGTTCTAACTTGCACAGAGAAAATGAGTTTTTAATGACTTCTGCCAACCTTGGAACTGCAGTGTTGTGGCCTGAGGATTCTACCTGTAGGAGTGGGTGATAGGTTTTCTGGGGTTGTTTTTGGAGACGAGTATGTGAGCGGGGTTGGTGCATCTGACCATCACGGATTTTGCAGAAGCTCGGGTTTAGGAGTAAAAGTTACTGAGAAGGGGCCAGGGAGTTTATAGCGTTCGAAATCTTTAGTGTGCGGAGAAGTTGATCAAATGTGTACAGCTTCAGGGGACAGAAAAGAATGTTTTTGAGCCTCCCTCTGGAGCTACTAGAAGCCTCCGATTTTCTTGTTCTGTCCGGAAGCGTCCCCCCCGCCCATCTTGTCCTGCCTTCTCTCAGCCCCAGGAACGTGGAGAGTCTGTTGTGCTGGACCTGAGCAGCGGTGGCTCTGAGTGGCTGTGTCTGTGGTCTTGTTAGTTAGAAGTTGCTTCCGTGCCATTTGACACTGAGCAAATGACAGCTGGGGCTCTCCAGGTGGGAGGAAGCCCCGGAGCTCATTCGGAGTTGGTCAGGCCCTGGAATTCAGACACCTTGAGTGAGATGGCTTGTCTGATGACCCGCTGAGCTGGCTGTTGGTGATGGGGACAGGAGCACTAGACCGAGAATCAGACTTCTGCTCTGGTGCCTGTTTCCTTCAAGTAGTTTCCCAGCCCTGGGCCTTGGGCTCCTGACCCGGAGAGGGTTTCTAAGGCTCCGTATTAATACCAATGACTACCCTGTGCTTGTGTAAGGTTTTACTGGCTGGCAGATGACTTGTAGGTCTGTTCTCATGTAATACAAAGTGTTAGGGTGACTATACCAAATCTTGGAGGGGGAGAAAGCAGAGATATCTAAGCCTTCCTCCCCCCCCCTTTGCTAGATAGGTGGACAGTTGCCTTTCTGGGGAGGGCTATTTTAACATGAAAGGACAAGATACTTGGTTGTGGACAACATCTCCTTTGGCTAATTGACATGCATTCTTTGGGTGGGGGGGATGGTTCTTGCATAAGAATTCCTTGGGGGAGGGCCTGGATGGGAGTCGGGGTGAGATGGGAGGGGTGGGGGTGTGGGCTCTGGGCTCTGGGATTAAGAACCTGTAGGTTTCCTTTATTGCTAGTCATCCAGATTGCTCCGCATATGAATCATAGTCCTGACTTTGACAGTTTAACCTTTTTATGAAATGTAGCCATTTTGGTTGGGGGGATGGGGGTAAAAGGAGCACAGATGAAGCAGGCCTGGATTCTTATCCAGATTCCTACCTGTCCTATGTGGGCACCCATAAATGGGTTGTACTAATCCATCCAAACTTAAGTTGCCCCTTGAATAAAGTAGGGCTAGTCATCTCCCTTATAGCCCCGCGGTAGTTACGAGCAGGGTCATGGGCGTGAGGCATCCAGCGCACAGTAGGTGCCCGACCAATGAGAACTAACACTCTTACTACAAAGGTCTGGCTTGCCAGAAGAGGTCGGTCCATTGTGTTTTCAAGACCAAGTTTGCCGAAAAGGTTGGAAACGTGGGATTGGAGCCTTTGGGAGATGCCGTGCTGTTAGTCCCGCACATTGTACACTTGTCGTTGGTACACGAGTAATAATTAGTAACCCGATCTTATTTTATTTTTCGACTTGCAGCGTATTTTGGGACCTTTACTGTGCAGCTCCTGAAAGGCGAGACACTTGTGAACATTCGAGTGAAGCAAAAGCCTTTCATGATTACGTGAGTAACAAATTTTTAATCCTGGCAATAATTACAGGGTTGGATAGCTCTAACTTCTTTAGTACCAGAAGCAAATACACAGCCAATTGGCAGTGGTCTTTGTTTTCTCTTGGCCTTTCTTTTGTTCTGCCCACCTCCCTGCTGCCCTTGCCCTGTTCTAACTTGGGGAACGGTGTTTCATAATGTTGTAATTATGCAGAAGAGTGTAGATACCTATCTGGAGGATTAAATGGTGGTGTTCAGGGCTCAGCCATGAGAGGTTGATGTTCAGAGTGGACAGTTAGCTGGGAAAGGACTGAGCCTCCTTGGTGTTGGTTTAATTAAAAAATTGGCCGCTGCCACCGTCACAAAAGAAGCAAATCTGAAAATTGTGTTTCAGAGCAGAAGGGGTGGTTGAGTGAAGTTTGGTGAAATGGGCTGTTTCCTTACTTTCCAGGGAGCAGGCTTTCCAAATTATGTTTTGGGGTGTGTGTGTGTGTGTGTTGGAGGGCTCACGTTGTGCCCACTAAGACCACGTATACTTTGAAGTCCTTGGCTGGTCCATAATTTTGTGTTCAAAATGTTTTTGTGAAGATAGTTAATTTCATCACCTCATAGGTCTTGCTACCCTATCATTCATCCTCTACCTGGATGAGTTTCTTAAGATTTATGAAATGCTTATAAGAGTGATGTCTGCTGCATATCCATCTCCCATGGCAGTCCCCCTCAAAAAAAAAAAAAAATTTAGACTCCAAACATGGGCTGGAGTCAGAATTTATGATCAGATGAAACATGATCTGGGGGATGTGGGAGATGGAAGGGGAAGTGTCTGCGGTTCTTCCCAGCCTCCTTCCAGTCTTCGCTTCCCACTGGCCTTGTAGATGGTGTGTGTGTGTGTGTGTGTGTGTGTGAGTGAGAGAGAGAGAGAGAGAGAGAGAGTGTGTGAGCGCGCGCGCACATGCACATAAGAGGTGGTTTATTTGGTCTTGCACTTTGTCATGAGGTGGGTAGGCATGGTCTCTAAGCTCTCGAGCATGAAAGTTGGTTTCTTGAGTGTCGTCGGGGCCCACCCACTTTGCCAGGCCGCATGTGTCCCCTGCGTGCAGAGGACACACCTGGGACACCAGAAACTGCCCTAGGACCCCGGAACCCATCTGGTTGAATTTCACAAGTGGTCAAATCCCATTACCATGCATATCTTTATGGTGACAGTTTCTCCTGTAGTACAAAGAGTTAGAGATTCCGCGGGAGGCTCACTGGTTTTGAGACTATTCAACGGGATGAAGTTTTGTTGTGACTCTAAAGGTAATGCCCTTGGAACAGACTGCTGTGGAAATGGACCAGTTCTTGTGCTCTCTCCAGGACTGAGAGATAGAAGCTGGCGAACGGTACTTATGGCCTGGTAAACTTTTAGTAGTTAAAGGTGAGGTGACTGGTTCTCTTGTGATGTGGTTCTTCTGGGAAAATCCGTGGTGATGATCATAGGGTTTCCTGAGCTGGAGGTTGGGGGAGGAGGCCAGAAGGTACATGAGGCATATAAAAATAGTTGGTGAATTTGACCCCTTTCTACCTAGTAAAAATTTTCCTTTTTTTTTTTTTTTTTTTTTAAAAACGTACGGAGAGCCCATTCCTGCATGGCCAGTTTTGCTGCACAAATGGTTTCGTTTTGGAGTTGGGGGGGATAGGTGGACTTGCCTATTTCAAGTAAATCTCTTGATAGAGGATGTCTGTGTTATCTTTTGCAAGCTATCAGAGAAGTTAATAATTTTTAACCAGGTTTGGTGCTCTAGCAAATGATGTAAGGTTGTGGAAATTTGTGGTTTGGTTTGCCATCTTGAAACAATATGGGTGGCAGTGAAAGCTTGCATGGGTTTGCTTTCCATAACTTGTTAAGGAATGGTGGCAGAATTATGTGGCGAGTACTGAAATCGGCGTGGACATGTAGAAGACGCTACCAAGCGTTGAAGTCACACTGATTGAGGCCCAGGAGTCACAGACTTGGGGGTCAAAACCCTTTATCCTAGATTGGAATCCACTTGGTGTCATTGGCCTGAGAGTAAGTAAGATCGTGCAGGGGGAGGGATGGAGTGATGAATGGCGGCAGAGAGGGAACATCTGTATGGTGAAGGAGTTACAGGGTGGCATTGGGCTGCAGGGGTGACAGGAGCAACTGATAAATTAAGAGAAATAGAAGAAAATTAAGAAACGGAACCCTCTTTTTTCTTTGTCCTTTTCAGATCTTCATGTGTTCTCTCCATTCCCATGGCTACCATCTAGTTAGTCCTCATTCCCTCTTGCTAGAATTATTGTCTCTTTCCAGGCCCTCTTCCTCTTGTCTGGAATGCATGCTTCTCTTATCCATTCGAATCCTGTCCATCTTTTAACTTTTTTGTGGACTTTTATGATAGTTTTCAGCACGCTCTGATCACTCCATCTCATTATCTATGGAAACCATCTATACAGAGCTTTGTTGGCGGCTTTCCATGTGCTGGGCCCCTCTGCTGAGTGCTTTGGTTCAGTCTCTCAATTCAAGCTGCCAGTGGCCAGGTGAGAGGAGTTGTTAACTCCATTTTGCAGATGAGGAAGCTGAGGCACAGAGAGGTTAATTCGCAGCTGAGGGGTAGAGTGAGGATCCAAACACAGGCCATCACCGACTCCGGAATCCCTGCTCCTAACTGCCGAGGCTCAGCCCTGCAGGTCTGTGGCAAGTGTCATTTGTTTGCACCTATTCCGACTAATTTCTCTCTTAGGCTTGTCTTTCCAACCACAGCTTATTAAGTTTTTCCATGCCAGAGACCATTCACTGATCTACAGAGCTAGTCAGCTCTGTAGCTCCCACAACGCCTTGCACACAGTAGGCATGCGTGCTAATTGAATGAAGGGGTTAAGGAACTATGGGTAAGAAAAAATAGGTAATTTGGGGTCGCTGAGGAGCCTGGCCTAGAACAGCCACTGGAATATTGGAAGATGGTTCCTTTGGTGATTTCACTTTTGCTGGGTGATCTTGAGCCAGGTGATTCTAGTGCTGGTTAACTAGTTACCTTACATCTTGTCAATAAGAGTGTGCAGTCACTGGCCTTCCCTTTGCCATTGAGGCGATTCAAAGATTCTCCTAGTTTGTGGGGGAGGTTGCGCAGCCCAGGTACCCACCCAGGCCTTGATGGGGGTAGTGAGTATTAGGGGGCATGCCCAGCTGCTGTGGGGCTGGAAGGATCTTTGGAAAGGACCTCAACTGGGAAGATCCTGGTCTCCACTCTCCTAGGGAAAAGATTTTGCGTTCCTGACAAATTGTCTCCCCTTCCTGACAATGGGGTCAGGGGTCAGGTGCTATAAAGGCTCCTCTCAGGTCAAGGCCAGGCTGTAGGGCCTGGAATAAACCAGGTGACTCAGCAGGGAGGGGGTTTAAATTTTCTTTGAATTCGTGAGTTTTTGTTTGAGTCACAGTCTGTCCTCCCCGCCCCCGGCCCCCCGCAAACACCTGGCACGTTATTTGTAAGCATGAGCGCCCTGATATTGACCACGTGTAATGTGGAGTGTTCGGGCATTCAGTACAGGAGTGGACTTTTCTGAGAAATCAGTTTACCCTAAGGCAGAAGAGCCCTGAGGCCCTGGGAGGAGGCTCACACGGGGAACCTGCTGTGAGAGTTTTCCACTCCCACCGGAGCAGTGCTTCTTAGGGTATCGGTAAAAGCCCTTGGGGTGCCATTGGGTTCTCTTAGACCCTGTTGTCTGGGGCCTGGCCTTTTGTGGAGTGGACGCTCCCAGTGCCACCTGTGTCTCTCACTTCGGGCCACCTTCTCCGTTTGCCTCGCCCCCTGGGTCCGTGTGGCTGGTAGAAAGAAGTATCTTTGGTGCCTTCTGGGCTACCAGCAGCCCTTTCCCTCCTTGTGGTAGCTAATTGTGTGTTTTCTGGTTGGTGGCAAGAAAAGAGTGGAGTAGGCAAGACCCAGAGGTGTGGCCTCTGAGCTGAAGGTGCTCGAGAGCCTCGGAGGCTCCTTGCACTGCTCATGTCACTGCAGTTCTTATAAAGCCTTTCGGTGAAGGCTTGTGGTTGGGCCTCACGGTGGCTTTATTGGTCAGCTGTTATTCCTAAGTTTCAGCCCCATTTCACAGATGAGGAAACCGAGGCCTGGAGTTTAGATAGTTTGTCCAGGAACATGTAGCGGGTGGCAGGGGGGAGGTGGTGGTGACGGCAGAGCTGGGACTAGATGTGCATCTTTCAGATTCTTCCTCTCAACTTTTGACAGCCCTCATTTGTGAACAGAATTCCTGCTGAATGGAGGGGAGGTGTTTGCGTTTGACCCCAAGTGTGCCCGTATATAGTCACTGAAGAAATGCATCCAGCAGAGAGTTAGTCTGAAACCCCAGCGAGGTGAACTGCAGAGTCACTGGCAGAGGTGGGACGTGAGTCGGGAAGGGAGTTTGTTATGGTACAGTGGCTCTTTTGGCAGGGAAAATGTGATAAAAGCTCTGGCCTTTCCTTCCAGAAAATACATGTGTCCCCACAAAGGAGACTTTGTACCTGATTTCGGGAGGTGTACAGACTGCTGCACCTAACCCCAGCCCCTCCGTGATTCCCAGTGAAGAACTTGGGGCGTTATACTAGACATGGAGTCCCATGACCTTGGTGAGCGTTGAGCTCAGTTTCTCCGCTGTGAAGACCTGAGGTCCCTTTCTGCTCTGCCACCGTGAGCCCCTGAGGAGGAGGGCCTGGCTCCCTTTCCCCTGTGCCGCTGCAGCAGGACTCTCCTGCCCCCCTCACCCCCAGCTGTGATCCTATGTCTCCAGGCTGCGAGGGGGGGGGCGGTTAGGAAAGTGCCCCAGAGGCCTAGGCGTGGACGCGAGCTGAGGTATTTGTGGCTCTGTGGCAGGGGTCCAGCGTCCTTGGTGGGTTTGAAATAGCAAAGTGATATTTGAGAGGGCTCTCCTTGGATGTGCTGAGCTGGGGTTCCTGCCAGGCGGGGAGTGTCCACGCCTGCCAGAACCCTTTGGGGGCAAGGGCTGGAGAGGGCTGCAGAGTG